TAAAGGAGTAGGAATAGTGGGTATCTAGGCTTCTTCAAGATTGTCTTAGGTTTTCTTGTAGTTTTTCTACACATAGTATTGCTTCGACCATATTTTTTTCTGAGAGATAGACTTTAGTATTTTGAAGTAATATTCCTCCATTCCTAATTTCTCTGTGAATTTTACCTTGAAGAAATGGTGTATTTTTTCACAGATTTTTTTCTTGATCTATTTATTTTCTGCTTTGTGGACTTAATTACATGTTATGAATTTTATATTCATATAATAGAGTTTGTTGAACAATTCCTGTACCCCTGACCTAAAGCCACCTTAATCACAATGGTGATTATCTTTAAATGGACATGTATTGCTTTTATGCTATATTATTAAATATTTATTGCCTCTAAGATTGTGATGTTCCTTTTGTGAATGCCGTTCTTTAGAACTTCCATGTCATCAGAACACTTAGCAGCTTAGATAGCAAATTTTGATAATAAAATAAGTAGTCCTATAAGTTTTGTCTCTACAATGTTACCATTTCTAAGTAATTGAAGACTGAGAGCCATCAGTAAACATGAATACATGTTAGAAACACTAAAATAATGTTGTTGGGCTTTGTATTTCTCTCTATCTCCTCTCACTCAATATACAAAGAAATATAAACAGACACAATCACTTACAAATTCCAATAAATCTATGAAGTCATATTTGCAGGGCTTCTTAGGTATACAATATCATTTTCATGAATTTATTCTATTCTATTCTTCAAAGATGAATGACTCTTATGTTTAAAATTTAAAAATATCCTGATTCGTTTGATAATCTCAGATGAACTTTTGCAAACAGATTTCTGCCTGTCTTTTAAATAATATGGAACATGGAGGCAGAGTCAAAGAGTTGGTTATCCAGAAGCTGTTAGTGTGTTAGAACTATTAACCACAAAAAATTTAAAGAGGAAAGTAAATTTGAAGCACAACCTAAAATTCTTTTCTGTTGTGTACTTATCAATGGATCTCCACTATTCCTAACTTTT